AACCCTCTATAAGCCTTTTTAATTGCTTCTTTGCGTTGCCTGGAGGCTGAACGCGAAGGGTCAGCATCCCATCTGCTTCCGAACATGGCCAAGAAGTTCTTTACAGTGGCTGGTGTCTTTGAGAGATACAAGGGATTCAAAGAGCCACAGAAACAAAGGGGTGAGTTGAAGGATTTTATTAGGCAGTCAAATGGTTTGACTATGGAGAATGGCGGACAAGAATGCACATGCGAGATGAAGAGCTCCTTGGCTTCGGTTCCCTAGCCTGGGGATACTTGGGCTGCTCCCTGTTTGTTGTATTCTTCTAAGGCACTGGGCAAAGCAGCTGGTGGACGAGAGGCGAGAGCTGTGGAAGAGCTCCAGCATTCACCCTGGAGGAGAATGACAGTACGGAGAATCAGTCGCCTATTCTGCCCACTCGCCGCGAAAAAGCATGGTGAGACAGGGCAAGAAGTGGATGGGCTCCAGTTGGGTTTCAAAACCGGATCACTGTGACCCCTGTGTCTGCTGGGTCCTCTACCAGCTACGCTCTCAAGACTATGATTAAACAATCACGAGTTTACAGGTACATCCTTTTTTTTATTTTCAGCTACTGCACATTGTTAACAAATATGTAGAATGAAATCCCGTAGAATTTAATGGATGAAAACACAAGTACTTAATCGGGTTATTGCCTCAATTAAGAAACATTATTTTTATTAGAATTTGAATGAAAACCAGCAAACAGAGGGACACAAGGTCCTGGAATTGCAGGCCCAGATCTGCAGCATCCAGGACGGGCCCAGAAAGCCGAATCAGTTAAAACCACTACAGAGTTGCTCGTTATAGCGTTATTAATGGATCATTCAGTGGGAAAATCAAACATACAATCCCTGTTTTATCTCTGCAATTGCTATGTTATTTCAAGGGGCCATGAGACGGGTTGAGTAACAGTTTAATTTCTCATCAACAGGGCAAATGTCTTGGTCAGAAAAAAACAACAACCATTATCTCAGAATTTCAAACTAGCACTCTGAAGGACCCCCCATACAGAGCAATTAACCAAGAGTATCCCATGGAGATGGGATGGAGGAAAGATCTAGAAGGACAAATGCAAGCAAGAGAGAGAGGTATACTATGGCATTTATATTTTTTTCAGGAAGGGATGATGTGTGCGTGTCAGAGTAGCAAAGATTAAGGAGACCTTGGTTGCTGTTATCTCTCCTGAACGTGGGTTAAAAATGCCATTTAATTTAAAATGACAAATAAACCCTCTCATCCTATGTTCAAGTCTGGACCAGGTATGCTGTCTGTGTGGAGTTTGTATGTTCTCCCTGTGTTTACATGGGTTTCCTCCTGGGGCTCCTTTTTCCCCCCACAATCCAACGACATGCTGGAAGACATAGAGCAATTGATCGTTTTTTACTAAGACTTTTAACAGGAAGGTGTCCTTATTACATTGCCTATTCTACACTTTGTATTACAGTGTTATCTTACATAGGGTTGTGTATTTCAAGCTATGAAGTTCATTGTGTTCGGTTACTGTACATTGAACTGTAAACAAAGATCTGTGGGATATATAACAACCAGAATATTTTTTGTAGAAACTGCACTCTGTTGGTCTTTCTTAAGGACAAACAGTATCTCCGACATATCCGTGCAAGACACCGTCCTATAGTGTTTTCTTTGAAAAGTAATGTAAAATACTATCTTAATCTACTTTATATTCGTACTTCCATTAAAATCAACGGTGTTTTGTTTAACTGTGTGAACTTATTAAATAAATTAGCCGGAACAAGTCACCCCTAAAGTATATGGTTTTAAGTATAATGTGAATTTACTTTTACTTTCCAAAATCGATAAAACATTTATAATTACTATCCAACGACATTGTTTATCCAGAAATGCACTTTGTCTTTCCAGAAATGCACTTTGTCTTTCCATTATCCGCTTACACACACGCCTTGTAGACTATGAACTATTACAACCCTAACGAGGAACATGTGTTAATCGGCCCCGCGGAGAGGTTGTTTTTAAAAAAACATTTTCAGGTCTTTTCAATTGTTCTTTCCTTTCTCACACTCGAGGAATCAATGCTCATCTTCTGAGTTTACCGTCAATGACAGGTGATGTAGGAATAATAGCCAGTTCGCTTTTCTTTACAGGAACATCACCTTCCAATAGTAGATATTTCTACTAATTTGCTATACCAGCATGAAACCTTAATAACATCATCGTGTTCACAACTGGTTCGGAACGAAATAAACACGGATTTATCTTTTCTGTGATTATGAGAAAAAAATTGGACCAAGGCGCTGTCGTTTTGTCGTTACAATAACATCGGAACCTGTGCTGCTACGTTCTTGTCAATATAATCGATATGCTACTACCACGGCATGGCCACCGGCCCGCAGCACACAGCGCTTAGCTCATCGCTCTCACATTGCTGCAGTAACCAACCTCCCCATTCATGCAGAAGATCCCACGAGGTTCTTTTGTTTATAACTTCCAGCAGCTCGGGTTGGGGGAGCTGATTGGTTCAGGCGAGGCCGGGCACATCGCACTTTCTTAGGAAGGGGCGAACCCACCTCGGAAAAAATATGTTTTTCGTATGAGTGTGAAAATTCAATGTACTTGTTGATATATTGATACCACATTTTAATTTGAATTTCTGTTTTAAACTTTATTTTCGATATTGAGATAAATAATCAGTGGCAGTTAGTTTATAGTCGTTTTAAATATCTTATTTTATTCCCATTATTTTATTTTTAATGGTACCGCCGGAGGTATTAAAAGCTCTAGCACATTTCTTCAGTTATCAGTTCTTCTGTTTAGAGGGGCTGAGTATCTCCAGTGTGGGTATTGGGGGTAATTTTTAATTCTTGATTTGCATGTTTCTTTGGAAAACTCATTGAAGACTTACAGCAAATATTGCTTGTATTTGCATTTAAGGTAGTGTACGTTTTTAGTGAACGCTCTAATTAGTTAGAATATACGTAGTTCCATCCTGACAAAACCATAGTTTTAATATTTGTTTAAATCTTCGATCTTATTTTTTTGTGTTTTTACATGATAGAAGAATTTTACAGACATACATGTTACACCCTGTAGTTTTTAAAAGCCTCTTTGTAAATCTCTTTGTTAAACAAGAGCAAGGTTGTTTATATCTAACTATATACTTATATTTTCTGAGATCTGATTTTCCTTATGAATCTATGTATATTATTAATTTACTAAGATTATTTTTTAAATCTGTGCTTAAATATTCAAATATCCTGGGTTTGTATTTTTGTTTCCGTACGTTGATCGGTTTTTGTTTGGGTCGGTAAGTCTTCTAAAGCACGATTGTTTTGCACGCTGCTTAAATGGGTTAAGATGAGCGGTTGTTATGGATTTGAGAAGGTAGAAGTGAATGCACCGAGGCCTGTGCTTGTAAGGATGCAGTCAACGGTACGGCGATTTCAGAACGTAAGCGGTGTTTGCCCAGAATGAAATCTAGACTACGGCAGTTGCGTGTTAGCCTTTTGTGAATTGGTGTTAACGTTAGCGAGTCGGGGGGAAGATGGGAATTTGAGTTTGAGTGTTTCCTTTGGCCGTGGAGTGTCGCCGCAGTGCTGCTACAAAACAACTACAGTTCCCATCACACGTGGCCTTGGGAGAAATCTTGACTGCAGATCGGGTAGACTGCGATCGTAGCCATTCATAGACCTAGCTTCCAGATTACAATCGTGCCTTCAGCCAATCAGGTCACGGGGAGGGTTTTTCCTGGGGCTGATCTTGTATTTTCCTCAGTGCATTCATTTGTGTTTTCATTTTCAGAAGGACCTGCAGGCAACAGTCAAAGCGTATACGCAGGTATAAGGGGAAAATCCTGACTTCGTTTTGCTTTTAAAGGAAAGCGTCGCGACAGATAACGATCCACACGGTCGATCCATAAAAGGGAAATATTAGCATTTTGTTAACTTGCTGCATCAATTCACTTTGAGCATGAGGGGGGGATTGGTAGCCTTGTTTGTGCTTTTCTGTGAGGATACATGGTTGGCGTTTTTTATGGGAGGGTAGTCTGAAAGCTTTTATGTGTTTTTGAAAATAAAACGCGGGCAAGTGCTTATTAAAGTAGATAATAACCTCTATTTGGGAGATGCAAAATTGGGGTCTGCGAACTTTCAAATTGTGACCGAGGAGGAACGAATCGAAATCCACATGAATATATAGACAGCTTATTAGACTTGGGATATGTTCAGTGTTCCAGTCTTAACGAGAAGGATAAATCGGGGGGAAAATAATGCTACAAATATGGCTGTCATAAAAGATTAGGTATGGGGTTGAGAGAAGGGGTTTGGTGGGGGTGGTGATATAATGGTATGTGCCGCCGACATTTGCTTTCCTTTAGCGGTTTGTAAACAGCAGATAGGGAATTGTGTTGGGAATGTGGGGTTGTGAGGAAGTGACTGTGATGCATAGTTGGCTCGGCTTTTGTCCTAGGTAATGAAAGCAGAAAATGGAGCAGATTAAATGTGCTCTTTCCTATAGCCATGCTGAGCTTTAGGCCTTGGGACGAGTTAGGGCAGCTGGTCAGATCCATTTTCTAGTTGACCATGCTTGTGTTAGTTAGCTCCTGTGTGCTGGTGTACACATGTCAGCGGTGTTGTGTGTTTTCTGGACAGGGGTACGCATTGTGCTTGCAATGTGTTTTGTTATATCCTAATCAATTGTGTAGTCTTGTCAAACATTACATGACCTTGTGTTACGTTTTGTCTTGGTCTCTTTTAAAGGCTTTAAACAAACATGTAACAAACAGGTTTGACTTAAGCATCCTGTAACAAATGTTGAACGGTTAAAATACTGTTCGTAGAAACAATTTATGGGTCCTGTTATTTTTTTCCCCAGTGTTCCCAAAATGTCTAAAAGTTACTTGAATAGCACAGGCGTATTTGGTAGTGGTATTGAAAAGAGTGCGTGCCTTGCTTTTTCTTTAAAAAATAATTTGTTTGTAATGAAATTTCATAAAATAGAGATTGGGTTTTGTTCCTCTGAAGATTTAATCTCCAAACCCCAGCCTAGCCCTGCAGCCTCTTAATGCTGTAGTGGGTTGCAGTGTTAGTAGTATTCAAGCTAGTTTTTTTTCTTCCATTTCTAGGATACTGGTAGACTGTTTAGGAAACAAGTGCTGGTGTGTTAAACAGCCGCCAGGCCTGATTCATGGAAAAGCTCTTGATGTGTGATCCTCGTTTTTTCCACGTTGCACTGGGGTTACTAAAACATCTTGGGCTGGAACGCTGTAGAAACCAGTTTAAAAAAAAAAGCCAAGCTGAGTTTTGGGGTGGTGTTTTTTTGTCGCCTCTGGATGTATAGATTTTATTGTAATTTGAGAGCGTTTTAATTTTTTTAACGGGTTCCTTTTTACTTGAAAGTTAATGGTGGTTGAGCTTGCTGGCGTTTGTGCGTGTGTAATACCTCCTGCATTCGTCGAGCATCTTGGTGGGTGTTTTTGCAGAGTCGCGCACGGGGCCGGGCCTTGTTTTGCTGTGCTGTAGCAGGCCTGAAGACTGACCTACATAGCTGTGGCGAGCGTAGGCTGTCTCCTTACTGGCCGTTTCTGGCGGGTCACTTGTCTGCAATCCTGCAGCTAATTTGTAACGGCTAACTGGGTCCTGGTTCTAATTAATCCTGAAAGTCAGACCCTTAGAAAACGAAGTGAAGTTAGTGAGTTGGCTTCTGGTAACGGGAGGTGTTTGCAAGGCTGTTTTACAGCCCTGTGGAGTTCAGTGCCTTAGTAAAGCAGTATTCTGAAGGATGTTTTTTTTTTAAAAGAAGCTTTTTTAGGGGGGCACTCATTGACTTGCATTTTTTTTTTTTGTCGTGGAGTATTTTGTGAGATGCCGGGTCTCTCGGTCTAACAGTAGAAAAGGCCTGAATGGTGATAACGGCATTCCGGGGCTGGCTGGAGAAGGACAGCTCCAGAGGAATTCCCCCCCGTCTCTGGCAGCCATTGTTTTTCAGAATGCATTCCTTTGTGTTATGAGAGATGATGGCAGCATTTTGGCACCTCCTATAACTTGATGGATTGTTCCCTCTAGAACCGCATGCACTTGAAACTTTTCCTGCCCTAATTATGTGTTCCTGCCATAAATTTAATACTTTTGACATAGGATAGACTATACTGACCCTGCAGAGTTTTTATTGCAGATTGCGAGTCCTTCAGAAAAGTGCCTCTGATGAGGTTCATAATAAAATCCATGAGACTTTGCTTTTTTGTTCCCATGGTCCTGTGGCCTTGCTTGAAAATAGTGTCTGACTCGGTTAATTAAAATACACAGACATGTGGTAGGAAAGGCTTTTTGCAAATGGAGTTTTCACTCTGTAAAATAAAAGGCAAATCGATTCTAGGAGGAAGAGGCAGACCGATACATTTTTAACTTTTGAAGGTAACTCTTGAAAACTGTTGAATTTTAAATAAACGTTCTTCTGTGCAGATGTTCTAATGTGCTTGATTATACTGTATTTTTTTTAGCTGTTATGTTCTAATTATATGACATGCTTAAAGTAGAGAAATGCAGTTTTTGCTCTTGCTAAATTTGTGGTTTTACTTGTTCATGTGGAGAGTTTTGTTTCTCCATTCTCTTCTGAAAGACAGGCTCGAGGCAGTATAACGTAGGCTACCTTTATCAGTATGACATTTTCATTTCAATGAAACCACCTTTCACAACCACCCGGTCTTTGGAAACAATAATTTGATGAAAAGTCCTCAAAATTGTTTAAAAATCTATGGTACTATTAAATTGCACCCAAGTTTAGCTGGTGTTCAAATGAAATGTTGTAGAAAATTGCCTTGGAAGACTGCAAAATAAAGCTGAAATCTTGTTTCCTTTGAAGTCTTGACCAAAATGTTGAAGCTTAAGGAACATAAAGAATTGAAACATTTTCCCGAGTCAATTTTTATATTCCTACAACCAAATATACTGCAACCTGCTTGTCATTTTAGCTATTTTTTCTGAACTTTTTTCTGGAACAGCAGATTCCAGACTTACAGGCAGACTGTCTTCCACATGAGAAAATGTCCAGTGCTCTCCACTGCAGTGAACAGGGATTATTTTTCTTTGCCTCTTTTAAATTGAGACAATGAAAGGCAACTCATGTTTGCTTTGTAGTTGCTTCTCTGGATTAGGACAACACAGCTTTGATTCTTATTCAGTCATGCTGTTGGGTAATTTTAGTTTTTCTAAACATTTACCCTGAACTGAACTACTGCATTACTCTCTTGGGTTTTCACTGCTGCTCTGGAAAGCTGAATTAACTGTTTCACTCCACCTCTCCAACTCGCATGTCAAAGAAACGAGGAATAATTGTTCTGAACTTGGCTCCCCCACGTTGTCATGCCACCTGATCATCCTTGTCAAAGGAAACGGGATGTGCTGTGTCTTTGGTAGGTGTGTCATACTTCACTGAACATGCCGTCGGCAGAGTCCACTGTGATCTAATATGTAGCTATAATCTGTGCCCCCTTTCCTAACTTATAGGTACACCATTCTGTGGTCCCAGCAGCATTTTCATGAGGTATCCTAAAACAGTCATCATGGGATCCTTTTAGTGAAGATGTCCATGACGTTATGGGTCAGTCCATACTCCTGATGCGATATCCCATGGGTCCATTTTAAATTGATGTGTACATTTGGCCTGCGTGTCGTCTAAGGCCAATTGGGTCACTGTGATATGCTAACGCTGCACTCGTTACATCTTGCGGAGAAAGGTCGAAAGCCGTCCGTTATCGTCTCCCATTGCGGACATGGCTGCCGCCGTTGGGATCTTGTGGTTTGATTGCGTTCCACTGTGCGCACAGTTTTCACTGGTGAAAGACGTGCATCTGAGCTTTGTGGTGTATGCTTGGAAGATTCCAGCACCAGCATGGTTCTGAACACGAGATCCTGGTTCCCGTTTCCATTTGTGTGCTCAGCTCTGTTGCTATTTAGAGATGTGGTTGTAAAACCAAATGTAAGTGCAAACATTTGAACAGAGCTGATTGGCTCCTAATCAAGCCAGTCTTGTCTTCTGAGTCCATGTTGTTGGATGTTTCTTGCTTGGCTTGGCCTGTGGAAAGGATGCAAATAGATAAAACTTTTACTTTTTTTGTGCTGGAAATGTGTTCCCAGTTGGCAATTTGAATCATTTCTTTTTCTGACAGACCAGGTTTTGCGTTACAATTGAAAAGCGCCAAGTTGGTCAAATTTACATGTTAATGAAGGGGAGCGGATTTGACGACTTTGAATATTTTTGATAGCATCTCTTGGAGTTGGGGAAAAAAAGTAGCAGGAAATGAAAATCTTTATCATAACATATGAACCTTTGTTATATGAGAAGCGGCCTGCCCCTTTTGCTTATTTTTGGTAGTTCTCTTTATTGTTTTATGGTGTGTAGTTTTCTTAGTTCCGTGAAACTTGATGGATTGAAATGTCAGAACAGCAACATAGGATTGAGATAAATGCATGCAGATGTGAGCTTAATTTGCTGAAATGTAGATCGTTATAGTTCCATTTTTTGTTACCTAAAACTTTTCTGCTTGTCACAAATGATATGACAATCTTTGCGGATGTGAAGCTTTCATGTAAGAATGATTAAAAGACTTTTGTTTGGAATTTAAGGGATTTTCCTTCATGGATAAGCCTTTGTCCTTTTTGGTGCTTGATTTTGTTAAATGTTAAGTACCCAGTCGTATTGATTCAGCATGTGCTCTGTCGTTTGATTAGAAGGCTTTTACTGAGCCATTTACTTGGTTATGTCTGTGCTGTAATGTGCTTCCAGTGGTCATATGCCTACACAAACAGCTGCTGAAATAAGTTGTGCTTGAGCATAGCTGGAGTTCAGATCTTTGGTTTTGCTGTATGATGCCATGCATGCATCATACAGCAAAACCAGGAATCACAGCTTTTCTTCCAGTTATGTTAAAAGTTATTCGTGTCTGCTGTGGGCTAAGGAGCGTTTGCTCAGCTAGCCTTCATAAAATCCATGGTGGGGTTTCTCTGCTTGATAGGCTAGAGCAGGAAATGTGGTTAACAGAAGGCATTAGGAAGGTGTGTGCATTTCACTTAATCTTCCAGCAGTCAGGCACTTCTTGTGAGTTCACGCTGCAGCATGGTGGCTTTCTGACCTCCTATGCACCAGCTAATATGACGTATCCTGCCCATATGCATTCATGTGGTTGGCAGCTATGTTGGCAGAGTGCAGCAGACCCAGCTGGGTGTCAGGGGTGTTGGTAACACCCTAACCAAACACTCATTTACAAGGAGCTCATTTTTCCCTTTTGGATATTTTAAGGCTGAAGTGTTTTGTCACAGACAACCTGCTTAGTCTGGCATTGTATACTTTGCAGCTTGCTGCTGACATTTTATGCAGTTTCTTTGTACAACTAATGCAGAAACGTAGAATTGAACTTCCTGGGTAGATGGGCATTAACTCCAGATATGGCGTTTTTGCATGTCTAGAGTAGACCAGTTACGTGCAGCGCGTTGCCCGTTTCAAGTTCAAAAGTGACGATTGGCTGTATAGAGTTCACAGTGAAATGTTTTCTTTATAGAGAGGGTTTTTTTCACTGAAGTGTATTTTAATGGTCTTAATTGATTTTCAACGTTGCTGTGAGTCACTGGTTGCCTAAAATGCGCATAGCTGGAAAGGCCTGATCATCAAAGGTTTATGTTTTATAGCTCACTTTTAACCTTATGTTGATCAAAATAAAGCACCTTGTTTTACCTATCTAGCTTGCAAATTAAATGCACTGCAGGAAATTATATGCAGTCGAATACATTAGTTTGAGGTTTTGATTTTTGTGTTACAGTACTACTGAAGGTTTTGAAAAGTGTATGCTATTACTGGAACTGGATCAGTCTTTCAGATACTCCATAAGAAGCTGCTGCCACCAGGCAGCAACTTGAAAGGTCTTGATAGTTGAGGGTCTGTTCTTCTGAATTTCTCAGATGAATGATCCTATTGTCCTTTGACCCATTTTACCATAGTGAAGATGTGTCTGCAAAGTTAAACCTCAGAGTTCTGGTAGCTTACCAAATGATCATTGGTCAGCATAGTTTAGGGTTAGCTAAACAAAAGTTTCAATTTGCATAGTTGTTCTAGATAGGATTTGTAAACTAAGTCGAAACCTTTGAATTGACCAGTTTTCTTAACTATAACGCATGCTTGCATTGTCCTGTAGTTTCAGGTTAAGTTTGGTCTGGCCGTTTCCAGTAAGGGTGTGGACCTGTTATTTCATTTGATGGAACAGAAAAGTGAAGTTAGTGTGGTTTAGCTGCACAAGCACATGTGCACAAGCAATTAATTTTCGTTTTCTTTTCCAGGATTATAGAGATGCACAGTTAAAGACGTTCCGGGCAGAGAGGCATTGCTGACCTGCAGTTCCAGCGTGTCTAATGGGAATATTAAGAAAGTGAGCTTGCAGCACGGCAGCAGGATTTCAGCAATGGTCGGTACAGTGTAGTGATCCACCTTACGAGGCAGCTCCAATGCTTGTTGGTGTGAGCGGCGACAAAGGGACGACTACAATGGTAACACTAATAACTGAGAAGCTGCAGAACCAGAGCTTGAACGATCTTCCATGTAAGGCATACAGCATTAATCTGGTAAGTAACCCAAAACCTGTTCCTGTCACTTTTCATACCACTTCTGCGTGTATAAAATGAATGACTTTCGAACATTTTGAAAGGTAGCCTTCCATGTAAGACCTCAGTAATTGCTCAAGCCAGGCTGCATCCCTTAAACAAGTCCTGCTCTATTTAAACTTGCCATCTGGAATCACTTAATACTTCAGCAATGTAAGTGTTCTGTAACCTAGATACTGTGCAGTCTAGGCGCTGTGTACAATAGGTTAAGGGTTCTTTTTTTCTTTAGTTGTGAAGGTAGACTGTGCAGCGGGCTGCTTTTTTGAAAATGAAAGCATTGAACCTTTTTAATAGGTTTCATGAAGAGCACTTTAAGCTGTTTTGAAATCCACTTAGCATGCACAGTGTGGCCTGCTCGGAATATGGCGAACTAAACCGCAGCGGTGGTTCAACACCTCGAATCCCAGTTTTACAGGGATGTCTTGAGGGTATTGGGTGGCAGCTGGGCTCGGGTTAGGCGGTAAAGGATTTCTCACATCTCGGTCTGTTGTGTTAAAAAGTGAACAAAAGGCGCACATCCGGATAGGAAAAAAGTGAGCCTTGTACATCTGTGATGCAACTCCATAGAGGGGCAAAGGAGATGCAGTGCATAGTTTTTTTTACAGTTTAAGTCCCTGGGCCTGCCCTATCTGGACAACACTCATTAGTCATGAGGGAAGCTCCCATTTCAGCAGTGCCTACGTTTTCTCACTATTGAGGATTAATGAAAATTCTCCTTTACAGCAGTGCGCCCAGTTCTTACGGCTCTGTTACTTAACTATATCCCAGGTGAGAATTTTGCTTTGCAGGCAGGTAAGAGCTCCAACACATTACACGATCCATTTAACAAAACGTGAACCCTTTAACAAATGAGACATACATGTAGGGTGAGGGAAGAAAAATGTGTAAATAAGGTAAAATATGCAGTCAGCGGTCCACACTGAGCAGGTAAATAGCTGTGGGAATAAAAGATGACTTAGTTCTATTGCTCTGGAATCTAGGCATTCTGATTCAAGTTCCAGATGGAAGGAGGTCAAATTAACTGTGCTAGGGGTGGTCACGACAGTCAATGGTTATATTGATCTAGTGCACTATTTGCTTGATGTGGATGTCTGAAAGCTGTAGTTATTGTGCAACACTTTTGCTGGCTACCTTTGCAATCCTGCTCATTCTTTTACAAGGAAATATATCTTCCATCCAACACACTGAGCTGCCGGTACTATTTAGGAATACAAGGTAAATGGATAAACACGGCAAGGCTTCAGCTTCCTGCATGTCCACAGTAAGGGAATGTCCATGCCGTCTGTTTATTGATATTAAGTGCCGGGTCGCTCATAGGGCTTTGAAGTCACATAAATGTTCTTGTCACAATTTTGTAACTTCAGTTATCGTTTGGTTTTTTATCTTCAAAGTCGTGGGCATGGGAGGAAGTGTGAAAACATACCACCCTCAGTAAAACAAGCAACACACGGCACTTATGTTCCCTTACTGCACACACGCATGAAGCTCCCTGGCAGTTTTTGTCCATTTGCTTAGTGTTCCTATATAGTAACAGTAGTTCAGTATTTGTGATGAGGATAATTTATCTTTATTGTTAACGGTCATATTTTCCAGTATTGGACAGGTGTACTGCAGCAGGTAACGTAGCTGGTAACAGATTGGACAAAATCGGTAGTTATGAGCTTTTTTTAGTGCGTACAAAAACAAACGTGTTGTGCTACATAAAATCGTTTGCAGCATCTGGCTGTGAATGTTTTTTGGAGGCAGCTGAATTCGAATTACTTTTATGTTCATTTAATTCTGGAAATTTGGCTGGGTATTTTTTCAGAAAGAATCTTTAACGTAAAGCTTGTGTAGTGTGTGCTATGGTATTGGATTTTTGTTCCCCAGTCTTTAAGGGATAGTGTGGTCTTAGGCTGACTGGAAAGTGAAGCAACTAGGCCCAATTAAAGCTGGAGAGTCCGTGAATAATCAGTGAGGGTGTTTCTGATTTTTTATTTATAGTGATGAAGCAATGTATTAAAACTTAAGTTGCAGTTCTTGTTTAAGTGCAAGTGAAGGCACTTTTGTGAATGTGGTTGAATATTCAGGCCTGCCTCATTCTTTATGGAGGCCGCTGCCTTCAGGGTAATCTGAAACTACAGAAGAACCAGAGTCACAGATGTAAGTCAGACATGGTGGAACACAAAGGCGTTTAAGAACACAGAAAGGGTTACAAAGGAGAAGAGGCCATTTTGCCCGTCTAGCCATGTGGGAGTTAGGAGCTAATAATCCAGCTGTTTCTCGAAAGAATCCAGAGTACAGGCTTCAGCAGCATAGATGGGTAGCTTGTCCCAGACTCCCACATCTGCATTTTTATGTTAAAATTAATATTGTGAGGAATTGCCCGCCCGCCCCCCACCCTCGCAGTCCATGAGTGATGAGAGAGGATTATTTTGGTACATTAAAGGCCAGTAAAAGTTGTCTGAAGTGTGACAGTTAATATGCAGCCGAGTGATGAGTAAATGGAAAGTGCAGTGTGTGTGGCGTAAGTTTGGTTTGCGTACAGTAGAGGACTTAGGAGCCTTGTGCAGTCCTGGGAGGGGCTGCTTAATCACTTGGTGGTATTTGTCCTGTTTGAGTAGATAACGGCTTTAATGTTTATTTCCCTCAGCCAGATGAGGTGGCTACGTGCTTACCACCCTTCAGCATCGCACGTAAGGGGGCCCACGAATGAGGTCCTCCTTCAGACAGCAGCTCAACCTCGGGCTTATTTTTAGCATCTGCAGGGAGTTTCGCTTTATACCCAGGAAGGTGGGGAGTATTTGCGGTGAAGTCCTTTGTTTAATATAGCACAGGGACTTTATAGAGGCAGCAAGTTACCTAATGTGGCATTACCCTACTTTTTCAAACTAGAGTCCACTTGCCCATTTTCAATATTCCTCTCAGGTTCTTATAAAAGAGCAAACTGGATTTAGATCTGAACTCACTTTAACAGTATGTTTTAAAATGGTTTTGCACAGATCTTACTGGTGGTGGAATTCGCTTCAGTTTATCTGTAGAATAAAGGATGTTCTCTCTGAAATGAGGGAAGAGCACATAAGCCATGTGTTTAGAGGCAAGATTTGTTATAAAGCCCAAGTCCTTTTTTGGATATAGAGAGCCGGATTCTTTTCATTCTTTTTTAGTGCAACTTCTAAAATTAGTAGAACTTCCGCGTCTTTGCTATAATTTGAAATGTAGTCTGTTTCTGAACAAAGCTTTTAATAACCCCTTTACTGAGACAGCCGTTTATTTGCATTAGTAATTGTCAGTTGATCATGAAGGGCATAAGAAACATCAACATCACAAACGCTTTGCTGTGTCATTGCACTATATAGAAGTAATTCTTATTCTTATTCTTATTCTTATTCTTATTATAGAGGTGTGGAGGTGAGAAATATGCCCTGCATTTATCTCAGTGGGGCAGTATCTGGGGAAAGAGGAATTGTGTGCCAGACTTTCTTGTAACTTCTCAAGGGAGCCCAGTTATCCTCTGGATTCCTGACTGTTTTTTTTTGCTGCTATGCTCCTTTTATAAGATTTGAAATGTCTGCAGTCTGATGCTTGAGCGAACATTCTGCTGAGTTTGGAAAGAATGCAGGGCACTAGGGTTTGTTTGAGAAGTCATCAGAAAAATTGGATTATCCCCCCAACTCCCATCTGACCTTTTTGTGACCCAGTGCACCCTTCCTTTGCCAGCATCTGAATTAAAACAGAGCCTACCCTCGATATGTAGAGATCATATCGGTAACAGAAATGCAGAGAGGTTCCCATTATCCCCCAAAGCATGAGATACAGGCAAAGCCCTTCATTTGGTACGACTACGTGCGAAGAGTTCGGTTGATGTTTTGTATATTTCAATCGAAGTTCCTTCTCTGCTGTTCTCTCCTACCAGTTTCAGACAGTTTGACTTGTGAAGCAATTTACCGTACTTTTTGGACATCAAGAAATGTCAGACTGTTCATTCGAGTCCTTTTTGCTTCGAGTTTCATTTATTAACATCTCCCCCACCCCACCCCCCAGGGCAATAAAAGTGGGCAAACCTGCTACCCTTCTTTAGGAAAAGAGGACCAGAGGACCCCGAATGGGCTGGGGGGAGTGGGGGAGGAAGGGGTATGGAATGTTTTTGTCGGGGGGGCTGTGGAATGCTGTAGCAGGGTGCTCCAGCTGTGGCCTTAAGAGTTTTGACAAGTTTCCACGACATTAACTGTGAAATGAAAGGCGCTCCCAACAACATTGCACAGACAAGGGGAACAATGAATCACAAACATGGGTTAAAGGGGTAGAAAAGCCAAAGAATTGCAATAAATATTGCAATCGAGGATAAAATCCGTTCTTTTTGTACTACTGCAGGAAAAACATAAACCTCTAGACAGCGAAAGGGAAATAGCGGATATGTTTTTCACTTAGGAAGACATGTTGGTCTCAGGCAGTGGAAAGGCAAAATTCTTTATCAAATATTATAGAATGGGCAGATGTTTCTTCAGGACCCAGTGGAAATTAGATGTTGTACATTACAGATACACCTTTTCCAACGGTTGCCAAGGAGTCAATAGTGTGTACGGGCTGGGGAAGTTCTAATGTAGTACCTGTCCATAAGAAGGCATATTAAACTGAGCCAACTGTACACCAGCAATTATGGGCCAATATAGACCCAATTTTTACAAATTCTTGGTGATTTATGTTTTATGATTTAATCTAATTGGGAAAAAAACGAGCAGTAAGGATTTCATCTCCGTGCCAGTGCTGGAACATGAATCAGCCTGAGCTCAAAACAAGCTGGAGTCAAAACATTGTAAATTGCACAAGAATGCCAAGACTGATTTCAGAGTTACTTGGTGAAGTAGAGGAATAAAGGGTTGTTTACGAGATTTTCTGCTTGCAGCTGGTAACCACATCAGGTATATACTGTAGGAAAGATCCCCCACCTCAGTGAAGGACATTTTAAATGGTGAAATAACCCTACAATTAGGATCTTTTGTTAGTCTCAAGTGTAGTTGAGGGGAAATTGTGGTACCTTAACTTGATGATAGAATTTAATAAGAGTTTATTTTTTTCAGCGGTTCTTGCCATGATACAAGAGTATAATTGGTTTAATTGTGATAAGTATTGCTAATTAACTGTATTTGTGTGCAAATGTTGGCTTTACTGTACCTGAGGACTTGGTATATGCAAGACTTTTGTCCTTTAATAATAATAATAATAATAATTGCTTACACTTATATAGCACTTTTCTGGACACTCCACTCAAAGCGCTTCACAGGTAATGGGGACTCCCCTCCACCACCACCAATGTGCAGCGCCAGAACGCTCACCACACATCAGCTATCAGTGGGGAGGACAGCAGAGTAATGTAGCCAATTCATAGATGGGGATTATTAGGAGGCCATGATTGGTAAGGGCCAATGGGCCAGGACACCGGGGTTACACCCCTACTCTTTTCGAGAAACGCCCTGGGATTTTTAATGACCACAGAGAGTCAGGACCTCGGTTTTACGTCTCATCAATCAATGAATGTGGTTGCTAAATGATGCCTTTTGTTAACTTGTGGAAGTTTCACCTAAATACAGTACTGTAGAACAAGATATTCTTAAAACGTGTATAAAACACGAAATAAAAGTATTACTCTGTTTCATAACTGGACTGCGATGCTAGAAGTTTTTTTCTTGTTAGAAGTCATTGAACTTGACTCCCTTCTAACAGATTTATTTTGTGAAATGTATTAGTGTTGTATTTGGACTGCTGTTACCATTTACACCTTTGAAACTCACTAATCTTCTTACATACAAGAGTAAGGTTTGTAAAAAGTGCAGTGCAGCATCAGCAAGTCCATTAATTGGCAGGAACCAATGTAAAGTGTTTTTCACCGATATCCAAAGACATTTCCCTGTTCTCTGCTCTCTGCTTGCCTTTGGAACGGCTGTTGTCATTTACAAGACAGAAGCAAGCAATTTCCAAAGCATGAGGATACTTTGGGTCTGTCAGTGTTATCCGTGTGATAATTGTGCAGCAGTTTGTTTTGATGTCTAGTGCTGAAAACAATGTAAATTTTACAATTGAGCTCCGTGTCGGAGTACCACAGTCAGGGGAATGAGGAGGGGGAATGTAAAACAACGTGGAGTTTTGTGCATCAGTGAAAATGTAAGTGTAAATGACATACAACGTCACTTGTATGTGACATTGATCATGAAGGTCTCCTATACATCTCTTCCAGCCATGGTGGATGTATCATTTAAGAGCTCTCTCAGATGAGGACAGGCTGCTGAAAGGGAGATACAGGAATTGTGAAAAGGACGCGATAGGAGAAAGGTTATTGCACCAAACCGTTCCAATGCTCAACTCCAGCTAGATTTTATAAAACACAGTGCTGTGGAAACGTCAACCCCAAACCCTAGTAGGGATCAACAGAGCAAGTCATACCGATTCCCTGTGTCTTATTCGAGCTCCAGTTAGGTCAGTGAAGTGCCCATGCCGTCCTGCAAGGATTGAACACAGGACATAGGAAAGTGTTTTCACTGCTGTCACGGATAATGTTTCATTTACATTTAAATCCTGATTAAATTATATGAATCTGCTCACGTGGCCTACGTGCTACATCTTATCAAGCCTGCTCATTTTACAAAGCTGTGGCTAAACAGTACGTTTCAGTATTTCATGGCGCTGAGCTGTAAGGCCTGGGTTTGTGTTTTGCGTGGGCACAGAAAGCCAGAACTGTGTGAATTCCGATGCCTTGCTTAGAGGAGCAGGTGTAATGAGAGAAAGCAGAGGTGGCAGAGAGGAGGTCAGTGTCAGCATCACTGTCCGCCTCCCCCCTCAGCAGCAGGACACCACAGGTGATGACTTTTACTAAGCGACGCATGTGGTTTCATGTACCTGCAGCCTCACAGAGGCAATCCGGTTGAGGATATTTATTCACGTCTAGTGGTGTCTCAAGGTCACTGTATATCCATTTTCTCAAAACCTAATGTACACTAATGTATTCTTTCATAATTATGATTGATACAGAAGAACCCCCAAACTCTGCAGGAGATTGGTATATTGTTGCTCTTCACAGTAGTTAGTGCTTTTGGGTTGAACGTGGTGCGCAAAATAATTTATTCTCTGCAATCATTTCCAAATGCACTTTGGTTGCTTTTTTTAAACCTATTCTTTCAAGATGCGTAGTTTCTTTCGTGGAAACTGAAAATACTTCCTTGGTTAGACCTCAGATTGACTGAATAAAGCTTGAGAAGTGTTGTACAGATGGGACTTCTGTTTTGAAATGCAAAAGGGGAACAGTTTTTAGTATGGTTGGTCAGTGCTGGTTTCTACCCATGTGTGCTTGGCTGGAAGGCTGTATAAATGACTTCTGGTTACAGAAAAGGAGCTCCTTCAAATTAGTCATGCGGTCAATCAGTTGTAAGTTTTGTATTTTATGAGCCTCTTGTGAATTGTTCCTGTTTCAGCTCTTGAGTAGACGTTTTTAATTCTGCTTGATTGTGCATTTTATCTACTGAGACCAACTTAGTATTGAGCAGAATTAAAAGGTGGAAGTCCTGAACAGCTAATCTGCTAAATTTAATGTCACTCATAAACTAGGGCATGCTTACATTTTCGGTGTAAGTAAATTGTGTCCTTACGCCGTATTTTCTAAAAAGTTTCTGCTGAGGGGTGCAGTCTCCTTTAACTTTGCCATGCAGTGAACCTTTAAATTAAGTAGTGCAAGTAAACCTTCATTTGCTGGCATCCCCTTCAGCTGTTGTGAAACTCTGAAATCCCGTTGCTTTGTCTCCATGTTGCCCTTTTCCTGTGAACCAGAACAAATCTTTTGGGTTGTCTGTGGTTCTGTTCCTCGTGTTAAGTCCCACACACACGTGATACTGGGATTCCGGCTATGCACCCTGTCAGCTGCCTTCTGCGGCGAACTACAGAGTTCAAGGTTTTGTATCCAGCATCTGCTGGCTGCATTGCTAACCTAAATACTCATTTGATTAAGGATGTTTACACAGAACTGCACCCAGATATCCGTGGAGAGGAAACCTCTGAACAATACTATCTCTTGGCTTGCACGTTAAAAAATGTTTCCAAAATCATTGTTGACATGATCTCAGGTTTTTAGCAGATGATTGGGGGGAAAACCTCTTCTTAGTTATTACATTTTAGATGTAATAAAAATAAATAAAATAATAGTAATAAATAAAAAATTAAATAGATGGTGTTTGATATCGTTTCTGATTGTATAGGAAACATGATTAATGTTGAAATGGGAGGCATAGGCATATAGGCCTAATTTTGTTACCCTGAATTAGAACAACTCGAATTCCATGTTGATTCTGCAGCTGTTTTTTAGGACTCTAGCACTTCTAGGGGTATTAAAGTCTAATTTTTTAGAGGGTAAAGACACTTTGGCCCAAGTAACTCATTGGTTGCTAGTATTTCTTCTGAGGATCTCATTAAGCCTTTTCTTGAACATCAGCTTTAACAACCTGGAAAGGTAGCTTGTTCCATATTATTAATGCCTGCAGTACATCTGCACCTTAATGTGTCATAGGCTTCACATTTCTTGTAATTTTTTTAATTTAGCAGAATTTTTTTTTTTACATTCCAAATTGGAACTGGGGAGGTTTCCGAATTTTTACCTCAGGCTATGAATGCTAGCATCTTTTAATTTTGGTATCCCTTGGCAAATGTCTTGCTTTAAACCAACTTTGAGAATTCATTTTGTAGCCTGGAGAATGTGTTTAATTTGAATGCTCTTATGTTACCCAGCAGTTTCAGTTTTTGCACTTAATAGTAGTCAGTGATTTGCAGAACAGCTGTCTTTAGTTTAAAGAGACTGAAGTTTTGAGTTTCACAACTTGTGAAAAGGCACATTTTTGGGGTCCTGATTTCATTTGGTTGGTTGTGTGTAATTTGAATAAGGGGTGCTATACTAGATTCTAAGAAAACATGTTATATGAGTTAGAAGTAGAAGTCTTTACAGTGATAAAATTGTGCCACCCACAAACTTGTGTGTTATATAGGAAAATCTGAAAGCATTTGGATATGTTCACACATCACACATTAAAGGTTTTATAAATCATTTATTTAGGATATTGCTGAGTTTGTGTAATATTTGTTGACCTTAAACACAGCTATGGAAGTTCTCTTAATTGCATACCTGTCATGAATGGGTTTCACACTCCTTGAGTTTTTATTTTGCAACGTGGATGTAGAAGCTTAATTTCGGACTCGGAATCCACACTTTCCTGTGCACAGCTTGAAGATTGCACAGTGAGCTGGAGTGCAGTTCTCTTCCCAGTAAGCTTTCATGTCACGCTGAAACTTTTCTCCTTGGTTAATTTCAGCACTCCTCTGAAAAGCTGAACCAAAGTGGCAGCCTGTTTCCTTACGAAATCCATGGTAAGTTTGAGATGTGCACTGTCAAGCTGACTAGTAAGGGAAAGGGTGTGTTGTCTAGTGAGTGATGTCTTCCAGGCGATTTGGGAAGAATGTTCTTTTGGCCATCTGTTCTTGCATGTAAAGCATTAACTGATTATAATTTTGCCTTGATGTCATGCATTTTCTTTCATGCTTTTTTCCATATTGGGGTTTGGAGTACACAATTTACAGGCTGTAAATATGGAACGATTTAGATTCAGGCTTATTTTATAACATTTGTGTACATTTTGAAAATGAATAGTGTTCCTTGGGTATTTGAATTTTATGCATTTTCTTAACCTTTGTTCTTTCAAGCAGTAGGTTTGGTCTTTTTTTTTCTTCCTCATCTGTTTTAGCAATAAAGGTTTTTTAAAACTATTTTCTCAAATTAGGTGATTTTCTAAATGGAGTTTATGGGGCCCCTGTATCCTTACCCTGTTACTTTGAATTTTTGTAAAACAAAAGCACAGCCAATTCGCCCTATTTTTAGCTCATCCGTTCCTTATTTTTTAGGATCTTGCCTAAAAGTACCTGTTAATGTGTAAGGTTGGGGTAATTAAGGTAGGAAAAAAGGTTTTACCAGGTTGCCTTTGAATGTTTTCGATAAGGATTTGCTTTCATTGTTCTGCCGGGCTGAAGAGGCACGTAAAAGTCCTTGACTAGATAAAGACCATGCTGTGAAGCCAAGCATTTTAATCAACTGGAATAAAATATTACCAATGACGTAATTTCTTTGTCAGTTCTGAATATGGAACAGTCAGCAGTTGAAGCTAACGCCCGTTTTCTTTCTTTCCTTCTTTGACAGAAGAGAGCCCATGGAGAGTGATAAGCAGGGCCTGCCCTATCCGAACAGAAGCGACCAAGAATGCACCTTTCTATTTCCCTTTGTGCCCCTTCAGCCGCGGTGCCCCTGACAGTGTTGGACTGCAGTGGCAGCGGGACGTCACAGGCCTGCGAACCAGTGGCAGCTCCTCGGGGGGCAGCAGGCCCGGCAGCGGCTGTGGCATCAGCCCCTCCGTGCTGCCAGGCTGGATCAGCGAACTGAACCTGAACGAGAACTGTGGGCCGCCGCTGGCGCCGCCCACCAAGCGCCACTGTCGCTCCCTGTCCGAGCCGGATGAGCTGGCCCGCTGCAGATCGCCGTGGAAGCCGGGCAGCGGCTCCAAAGTTTGGACTCCCGTCTCCAAGAGGCGCTGCAACAGCGGGGGCAGCGCCACCCTGCAGCGCTGCAACAGCCACGGCGGCGCCACCCTGCCGCGCAGCCCCAGCGTCAGCCTGCCCCAGCCTTCCTTGTCCACTTCGTCCTCCTCCTCCTCCTCCGCTGGCGGCAGCAGCAAGCAGCACGTCCTGTCCCTGAACAACAGCGCCTTCAGCGTCGCCAGCAGCGGCAGCTTCAGCACCTCGCCCGTGCCCCGGCCCTCCTCCGCCAGCAGCGGCTTTGTGGACAGCAGCGAGGGCAGCACGGCCTCCTCGGGCGTCCCCTGGCACTCGGGCGGGCCTTACGACTACCACCCGCGGCGGCGCCTCTCGCTCTCGCAGGAGCACATCACCGACGCCGGGACCCTCCTGCCTTCGGCCAGCAGCACGCCCACCTCCACCCCGGAGCTGAGCCGCCGGCAGGGCCTCCTGCGCTGCCGCTCCCAGCCCTGCGTGCTGCACGAGCGGAAGAGCGGTCTGAAGCGCCGGCGCGAGGAGGACGTGCGATGGAGCCGGCCCTCGCTGGATTTCCTCAAGATGACTCGGGTAAGGTCAGGGGCGGGCGTTTGCAGTGGGGGTTGAGCGGTTATCCAAGATGTCAACATACCCATAACATTTAAGCATACGTGCCCTCCCTTAAGCCAAATGGCTTTCCGTTCGTTTTTTGACTACCAAGAGCAGTAAGGAATAATTTTTACCTCAAAATAAAAAAATTCTAAAAACGACAGTTTCATGTCAGAAGTACCAAAACTAAACTGCTTCGAAGCGGGCTTCTGCAAGAGATGCTCAATCTGTATTATATAATGCAAGGTTTTGTGGACAAACTAGAGCAAAAAAAATTATTATTCTTTTGAAATTGGATTCCGGTTTTTTTTTTGCCTTTTTCGGTTTTAAAAAAAAACGTTTCTGTAAAAAACAAATAGCAAATTACTTTGCTGTTATTTAAAAGCTGGAAGTCCCAAAGACTCCCATGAAGACAAAAGACTTCATGTTTTAGAAATTGTCATACACAATGGTAGATTGCATGATTTACTAGCAAAAAGATCATTTTCGTTTTGTGGTTTAACAAGTTTTTGGTTGTAAACTGTTTAAGTTGACATACTTTTTATCACTGGCAGGCTGGGGTTTGCATTAGAACAGTTTTAAATCCAGCTTAGTTTATAAAAGCTTATACTATTCGTCTGTGCAGTTTCTGTCAATAGTGATTAGAATAAAATTTTGATGGATCAGTGGTTTGACCTCATCCTTAAATCAGCGGAGGTGCATTCATTGTCTGTTAACCTTTTGTAAAAGATATTGCCTGTTAACTTTGTCTTAATCTTACCATATTTAAGTGAACTAATTTTACATTGGCTACTTCTTTTCAATATCCTTTTTGCCTGAATTGTTCAGTAAAGAAGTTATGAATATTTTGCACCAAATTATTGAATTGCTTTGTTTAAAATGCAGGATGCTGATATTATGGGCTGTAATTGCCTATGAAAACTTGTAGAGTTTATTAGTGGTATGTAAACATCCATTGCACTTCTTCTTTGGTTACGGAAGGCATTTTGGCTGCATGTTTCACAAGAAATTGTACTTGTCAGGAGGAATCAAAGAATGACTGTGGGAATGTAGCTTTGTTTCTGAAAAGTTTTACTGTGCTGTTTGCCTTCAAGAGCTTGACTTAGAAGAGGGAGAGACTGTGGAGAAGGGGGAATCCCTTGATCTGGTCTTGTGTGCCTTTCTCCCCCAAGCTTGTAGAAAAACTTTTAACCATGAGTACATTCCTTCATAGACTAAGGACGTATGCAGAGACTTTAAATCAAGGCTGCTATAATTGTAGCATTGCTTATGTACCTACCATTTTCTGTCACTTTGTCACTGTTGGTACTTGGCATTAGCTGCAATCCACATGTTTATCAAGGAAGGTGATGTATGTATTGGAGGTGCTGTTCTGTAGTATTTGTTAATGTTGAATGTAAGGCTTTTTGATTTTTTTGGGGGGTGAGTATTGTACTGCTGGTAGAACCATAATGAATTGTTTGTAGTTAGCATTATAGCCCATAATTGCATGCCTGAAACCTTTTTCTAAAAGTGAGGTAAATGGTGTTAGTTACTTTTTAATAGCAGACAAACACTGGTTTCATGAGTCAGTAAGTACCCGAGTGTTTCAACTAGTAGCACCACCTTTCAGAAATGAAGTTTTCAATTTCCTGTTGCGTTTTCAAATTTGTCTCCATAGATGGAAACAAGGCAGAGATGTTAACTGTGCTCATGGGAGTTTCTGCTAGACTGCCTTTACTCTGTAGCTTGCCTTAAGTCAGGGTCCTATTGATATTTGTCATGACAAGTAATTTCTTTTTAATGTTTTTAGAATGTTGCTTACTAGAGAGTTTGTGCACTTTAATATTTTACATCCAATTTATAAGACTCCCAGCAGGTTTTTTTCAGCTTATAACATGCAGTGCCTTCTTCATGTCAACCAGTAGCTGTTTTATTACATAATTATCGCTCCAGTTAAAATGGTTTGGAGCGTATATAAAAACGGCTAATTAAATTCATCCTGGTGCAAGTACATGCATTAACAAATTGCCTGTGCTTTCCTCTCGTTAAGACATGCTGTGCAGGGAAGGAAGAGGTGCACTAATTGCACTGTCCTTCATGCAGTGTCAGTGCAGTGAAAATACCAGGCCAAAAATAGCAGGAGCGCTGTTACTTGAAAGACTGAAGGGCTTTTTCTGCTAATAAAACTGCAGTGGCAACCATTTACTCTTCAGACCTGTGCCCGAGGATAAATTCCACAATGAGCTTGCTTTGAGGTCTCCACCTGCTTATCACATTTGTGGACTTATTCCATCAAGTAGGAAAGAACTGTAGGGTCCTTCAGCTGTGTCCGGAAAGGTGACATTCTAAATGGTGTGAACATTGTAAATGAAGTACAATATCAACAGTAAACTGCTATTTTTCTTCCCCTTTTCATTTTTGGAGGGCACTTTCATTAGTTTTTCAGTGGGTTGGGTGCCTGCAGGTTATCAGCATGTGTCGACTTAAGTCTCTTCAATTGTGGATCCAAGTACCAATTATGCTGATACTTGGAAATCCGAGTTTGGTATGCAAGAAGGATTGAAAGTGTGCACATTCTCCTTTACTCTTTTAAAGATGCAGTGATTGTTAGGTATTTGTGCTAGTTCCCCATTAATCCCTTAATAAATGCTTCCTTGTGTAGAAAGTGTTTCTGGGAAAAGGGTATTAGAATATAGGGTTTTAAAATGTTTCACTAAAGGCAATTTTGGAGGTGCGGGGAGGTTTATTGCAGTGCATGTTTTTGTGCCAAATCATTTTGATCACAGCAAAATTGACAGCGATAAACGCAGCCTCCTGTGTTGAGTGGTGGTTTGTACTGTGGTGTGATATGCTGTCGCCAAAGTGAGGGGAAGATTGCGAGCTCCGTCTGCGTATGGCGTGATGGCCAGTGCTACTGCTTGAACTCCGTTTGCAGGTTTTTTTTTTCTTGTGTGGTTTAAGTTCTGCACTGAGCCGTTCCGAGCTCCATTACTCGTCATCGTAAGATGGTTGCGTTTGCCCTCGGTTCTGTGTCATTCACCCCCCCCACCACAAGAAAGTCATCTTTTTTAACCTTTAATAAGCTGCAGGCAGATTAAATTTCGGCCCTGTTCTGCTGGGGCGGTGAGCGCCCGCTCTGGAGAAACCCACCACAATTCTGTAATCACAGCTTGAGTTGCACTAATTTTCGAGAACAGCTGGTCGACCCCTTTTGAAATCTATATTTCCCACTGGGCTTTTACCCATTATCTGCCACGCCGTGCTTGGTGTCCGATTCGCATTGCTAGCAATTCAGATTCCATCTTTCCTGGTTGTGTGTCTGCCTTTTTTTTTTTAATCAGAGGACATGGAATCACCTTGTGTGGTTCAGTGGGAGGATCTCTTCCTTTGTCTTCTCAGTGGAAGGGGTTCAGAAATGATGCTTCGCATTTTCCTTCAGCATTGGCTTTAAGATGTTTCAGCTTTTGAAGTAACTCATCAAGGCTGTGACAGCGTGCCCTGTTGTGCCCATGGAAACATCCCAAAATATTTAACTGTAGAGTACCCGAGCATCTGATAAAAATGCTTAGAGAAAGTATTGGGCAATTTGAAAAAATCAGCAAAACCTCTTCATTTTAAATTGTTGGACTTTCTGTGAAGCAAGATTAGGTTGACTACGAAATAGTTGGTCCTGTAGTTGCACTGTATAAGCAGTTGCCATAAAATGTGGATAGCTTAATATAAGGGAGATAGTCAAAAGCTACATGTTTTAAATCCCTTTTTTTGTAGGGAGTCACAGGGTACCACAGAAGAAGCCTTGATTTAGGCTTCCTTTTTCACTTTTCACAAGTATTTTCAGTTTTTAGCTTTGGACCCCATCTGTCCCAAGGGGGAATCATAGAGGTCTGTTTTGGAAACCCCTGTCAATGTTTATCTAGAGTGGTATGCATGTACAGTGCACACCTAGTAGGTGGTCTGAGGGAACTACTTTTTTATGCACTTGTCCACACAGAGATGGTATGCATTATGGCATGAGCTATGAGGAATTTAGATATAAGCAAGATTTTGTATGTTGACCTGATTTCAGACAACTTCAGTGTCTATAAAAAGACGCACACTGCATCTTATGCTAGGGTGAACTATCTGAAGTCTATGGAATGTAATTGAGCTGCCTCTTTTATTTGCAGTTCTACTGAATAATTTACAGCAAGAAAGGCTTTTAATAGTTTCTAGAAGTCTATCACTAGATTTTGGCAAAAGCAGAGCAGTCACTTCAGTGAGGCAGTTTGATTTAATTAATTATGGAGGAGGGTGAGCCTTTCAGCTGGTTATGCATTTACAGTCTGTGCTGACAGTTGCATGCAGATTGTACTGTAGTGAAGGTGTTTTGCCTGACAATTTACAAGCCCTTGACCACGAAATGTGTTCAGGCTTTTGCAAGCTTTTTCCCTTTGTGTGAGAATTATTGGGCAATGAGGTTGGAGAAACTAAATCTGAAGTTTGCATGCAGCAATAGATAAGAGAACCATTGGCAGGTCTAGAAGTTAATTTTGTCTAACGCTATTGTCTTCAAGGCTTTTTGAAAAGGTCTGCGTTTTAAGAATCAAATTGACAGTATGGAAAATACATTTTAGAATACAAAAAACTTTTCCGTATTAAATTAGGAAACTGGCTCGAAAGGTTTCAAACAGCTTTTGAAGACCAGTTCAGAAGCTCGTTCGGTTTTGGGTAGCATTCCAAAACTTTTGAGTTTTCAGGGTAGGAAGCTTTAGTGCTTTGTAGATGAGGAGATTTTGAAGCATTTTGATATGACACTGGGATTCAATACAGGGAGGCTAGAGAAGAAGGATTAATGTGACTTAGGTTTGGTCATGTTGATCAATCTTGTAGTGCCAGCAAGCAGTCCATTAAAGGCATGATGTGTTTTTCCTTATCTGACTGAAACAATAGGTTGTCCACATATTGTTTACCTCCATAGGCAATATTACACAAGTACGTTTACCTTTGTAATATTTTTGCCA